AATGCGGAGGAACCGTCAAACCACGAGGATCCTAAGAAGACTTGAAAATTGGACGCAGTGTGGGGTCCCGGATGGGATCCTGGGGCAGAAAAAGGACATTAGTAAAAACTAAGAAAGTATGAATTAAAGTCTGGTCTATAGTTAACAATAGTGTAGGGGCACCTGGGTGGCGCAGTCGGTTAAGCGTCTGACTTCAGCCAGGTCACGATCTCGCGGTCCGGGAGTTCGAGCCGATGGCTCGGAGCCTGGAGCCTGCTTCCGATGCTGTGTCTCCCTCTCTCTCTGCCCCTCCCCCGTTCATACTCTGTCTCTCTCTGTCCCAGAAATAAATAAACGTTGAAAAAAAAAATTAAAAAAAAAAAACAATAGTGTATAAACATGAGTTCATTTGTTGTGATAAACAAATCATAGTGACACAAGCTGTTCGTAACAAAAGAGGGAGTGTAGATTATATGGGAATTCTCTGTGCTTTTTTAAAAATATTTTTGTTTTATGTTTTTATTTGAGAGAGAGAGAGAGAGAGAGAGAGAGAGATCAAGCACAAGCAGGGGAGAGGGGCAGAGGGAGAGAGAGAGAATCCCAAAGAGACTCCACATTCAGCACAGAGCCTGACGCGGGGCTTGATCCCATGACCCTGGGATCATGACCTGAACCGAAATCAAGAGTCAGATGCTCAACCGATTGAGCCACCCAGGCACCCCTAAAAAGCAGGTCTTATAAACGTATTTATTACTTTAGTTTCCATACATGCAATTCGTTAACAAATGTGCGTGAATAATAAAATACTGTATTTTAAAATTTATTTACTACTTTACTTTTTTCACGCGTGTAATTTGTCCAGAAAATGTGTCTTGAACACTTGGCCGTCTACCAGACATGATGCTGTGTGCTGACGGTCGCGATGGGCGAGATGGACAAGAGGCCTGCGGGCGGGGGAGGGGAGGCACTGACAGTCGGCCAGAGACAGCAAACACGGGAGCACACAGGTAAAGGTGTGAGGGGGCTGGGAAGGCAAAGAACAGGTGATCTTCTACAGAAAGTGCTCCAGAAGGTTCCAGGAAGGAGTGTAAGGCTAAGAGGAAGCAGGGCCACCAGAAGTGTTGGAGCGTGGGGGGGGGGGGGGGTGTTTCAGGGACAGTGATCCAGGCAGAGGGAACAGCATGTGTGTGGCCTCTTAGCAGGACAGAGAGGGCCTCTTGGGGAAACTGAACAAGGCCTGTGGGGAAGGGAGGGTGTTCAGAGTTGCAGAGAAAGCAGGCAGGGGCGAGGCTTGCACTTGACCTTTCTGAGTTTGGAACATTTTTTTCAGCTGCACAGGAAGCCATCCTCGGGTGACACAGTCCGACTTACCTTATAAAATACATATTCATTATTGAAACTTTAGAATATACAGAAAAAGATAAAGAAGGAACATCTGGGGTCCCTCTATTTTGAAATAACATTTGTTAACCTGTTAGGATGTTTCCTGCCATTTTTTCTTATTCTGTTGTTTTCTTGGTCTTATTTTTTTAAGTATATGTTATTATACTATGAAGGATTTCCCCAAACCTCAAATAGCCTACAAAATCATCCGTCTGCATACTATTCCAATACATACCTATGCCCTAATGTATCTAGCCGTTCCCCTGTTTTGGTTGGTTTCTTTTGTTTTCACCACTACAAACGGCATCAGGCTGGGCCTTCTTGCACGCAAAGCTGTTCTATCCATGGTAACTTTATTGGGGTCACTGTTAGCCCTGCTTGACAAAATTCTGGAAACATGTTTTTCAATGTGTAATGAAATATGCCCTTCGATAGCCCCCACCAACTGGACTGGCATCTCGTTTAGGCCCCAGATCTCGATTCACAAGGCCATGTACGCACAGCCACGGCAAAGTCCCATCAGCGATCCTTACACGGCCCGGAGCCTAATTACTTTGCGAAAAGCTGTAACCATGGCAAATGTATTTTCTTTTAGGAAAAAAAAAATTTTTAATGTTTATTTATCGTTGAGAGAGAGAGAGAAAGGGTGCGAGTAGGAGAGGAGCAGAGACAGAGGGAGACACAGAACCCAAAGCAGGATCCGGGCTCTGAGCTGTCAGCAGACAGCCCAACAAGGGGGCTCAAACCCCTGAACCGTGAGCTCATGACCTGGGCCGAAGTTGGACGCTTAACCGATTCAGCCACCCAGGCGCCCCCAGTGTGATTCATTTTCATGTGGTTGCTTTGGGGCAAATGACAGTGGATGGGGAATAGACAGGTGGGCAGAGACAAAGGTTAATGACTCTGTCAACCCATGAGGGATGTCGGCAGGGCCACCGTTATTCTACATGTGACATTAACATCACGAATGATGCTGTGCTTGATGTGGAAACCCGAGAGGTCCCCCCACTGCGCTTACCAGTTGTCAAGAAGCTAAGGCAGGTGTTGGTAAGGAGAAAACTTCCCAACAAAACCATCAGCTGTACAGGCGTTGTTACCCCCCGCCCCCCCCCCCCCCCCTGCTCCAGGCTCTGCTCAGCTCCTGGCACAGAGTGGCCGGGAGAGGCGTGGCAGTCTGTGGGGGGCACAAGCGTGGCCAACCCTAGAACAGCCATCCCTGCGTTCACTTGCAATTTTACATGAGGGACGGTGTTCACACGGGGGACACGGGAACATGTTCTTATGGGTCCACTCAGATTTTCTAGGTTTGCACATGGGCAAATCACACCATGTAGATTTTATCAAGACATGAAGTACTTTCACTTTAATTTTTTTAATGTTTATTTTTTGAGAGAGACAGAGCGTGAGTGGGGGGGGGGGGGCAGAGAGAGAGGGAGACACAGAATCGGAAGCATCTCCAGGCCCTGAGCTGTCAGCACAGAGCCCGACGTGGGGCTCGAACTCAGGAACAGTGAGATCATGACCTGAGCTGAAGTTGGACGTTTAACCGACTGAGCCACCCAGGCGCCCTGACATGAAGTACTTTACAAACATAAGACTAATTATGATGTTTCAAGGTGTGTGCGTGTGTGTGTGCACGCACGCATGACTGGGCTTTTCCGGCTTTTCGAAGTGAACTTTTAAGGAAATATTTTTCTCTCAATTTGTCGCTCTTTTCCTGTTTTACCAAATCCGCACGCGGCAGGTGGCATGAATAAAGAAAACATGTCTATGCTCTTTCGAAGGCTAAGCAGATACCACCCTCAGGTTGTGGTGAAATTACACACGGGGACTTGACCTGTCTTGTTTTATCAAACGGCCAATGATACACTACTGTCATTGCGTCACGGGCTTGGCTTTTCCACCACTCGTGGCCGACATTACTTCCTTTCCTCCTTGTCTTGGCTCCTTCTCGGCACTGCCCTGGTCCCCCTCCTACCTTACGGGATTGCTCCTCAGGGCCAGGACTTCGAAACGCATCTGCTGGCAGCGACGTGCCAATGTGTCATCTCTAACTTCCACAGCTCTGGAGCCCTGTCCCCTGCGGGTGCCCAGTTGTGATCACAAACGCAGGATGGCCAAAACACAGCCCCCGACTCCCATCCTGCCAAAGCTCTCCTTCCCCATGTGTGACCGCCTCTCTCTCCTCAGTCCCGCGTCCCACCCGTGTGCCTTCAAAACGTACCCAAACTTACCCAACTTCTGTCTTTATTACTTCCATCCTGGTCCAAGGCACAACCCGTTCACGCTTGGCCGAGCGAAGTGGCTTCCTCCTGGTCTCCTGGATCCATTGTGCTTCCCACAACCTGCTAAAATGTGGTCTTCCCCACTCCATAAAAACCCTGGAATTAGAGCCTCACAGTCCTGGGCTTGTATCCTTCTGATGGGCCCACACAACACGGACAAATCCAAACTCCCACCTGGCTTCCAGAGCCCTGGCCCTCCCTGGCTGCCCTTGGCCTTGCTGAGCCCGTCTCATTTTTCCTCTCCAGCCTCGCTCTGTGCTCTGGTCTCTGGCCATCCACGGCTCTTCCCCCACGGCAGGCTCTCTCCCTCCAATGGACCTTTGTATTAGCTCTTCGCTCCGCCTGGAACGTTCTCTGCCGCTTCCTTACTCGGCCGACACTGGCCTCTGGGTCCGGCTCCAGGCTGCGTGCTCACACTTTCCCCTTCACCGCAGCCAGGGTAGCACTGTCACATGCCTTCGTTTCAGTTCCCTTACAGCCCCCCTCACCTCCTGGTGTTTTGACCGGTTGGTTGGTCGGTCGTATATTTACTGGCGGTCTTACGGCCAGCAGTGCTTGTTCACACGGAGCAGGGCCCTCCTAGACGCCAAAGTCAACGCCCAGAGGGTGACGGTGAAAGAAATGGAGGGTTTCGTCTTCACGAATATGTTTTCACTGCCACGGAAATGTTCATGACGTTGCTGGACTCAGCAGCCCTTGGCTCCTCCTGCATCGGAAGGCGGACCCAAGGTGAGACCAAGAAGAGAGGCCATAGCCGGTCCTTCCCGTGGGCTCCTCCAACACGGAGGAGATGGGTGGGGGTGGGGGAGATCTTGGGCCGGCGTGCAAGCCGTAGCTCCGCGTGTCACACAAGCAAACCTCTTGGCACCGGGGTAGAGCATAGATCCCTGATTTAGAAACGCTCTGAATTACAGCCCTTCTAATTTAACGTGGTGTTATTGGGTGCGTCCCATACACCGCCATTTGGTCTGTTCCCGAAGAGCTCTTTCTCCGCTGTTCCTACATATACTGGGGTTTCTTTGATGTCACACCCCACAGCGATGTAGAAAATCCACATGACTCGTTCAATTCTATCAGAAGGGGACAAAATCTCTCAAAGCCTTTCTTGGACCGATCTATATATTTCCACTTAGCTAAGTCATGAATAAAATAATAATTTGACGGTTCTTTTTTTTTAAATTTTTTTTCAACGTTTTTTTATTTATTTTTGGGACAGAGAGAGAGAGAGAGAGAGCATGAACGGGGGAGGGGCAGAGAGAGAGGGAGACACAGGATCAGAAACAGGCTCCAGGCTCCGAGCCATCAGCCCAGAGCCCGACGCGGGGCTCGAACTCACGGACCGCGAGATCGTGACCTGGCTGAAGTCGGACGCTTAACCGACTGCGCCACCCAGGGCCCCTATAATTTGACGGTTCTTTACGGAACGTAAGAAATTGAGTGACACAAGCACCCCACGATTGTGCTCTGGGATAATAGACGCCTTTCAAAAATTGCTTTTGTCCTCTTGGCTCGTTTGGGGTTTTATTATTTTAACAATACAGGCAACCTATGCCAAAGACTTTTTCTGCTACATTTTGTAATCAAAGTAAAGCGATTATAGGCGTTTATTTGCTACCATGTACACGGTCAGTCTTTTTAAGCCACATCTTGGTCCATCTTTCATCTTTTATTTTTTAGGGGCGCCTGGGTGGCTCAGTCAGTTAAGCACCCGACTTCGGATCAGGTCGCGATCTCGCGGTTCACGAATTCGAGTCCCGCATCGGACCCTGTGCTGACAGCTCGGAGCCTGGAGCCTGTTTCGCATTCTGTGTCTCCGTCTCTCTCTGCCCCTCCCCTGCTCGCACTCTGTCTCTCGAAAATAAATAAACATTAAGCAATATTTATTTTTTAATAATTTCAGCATTTTTAATTTTTGAGTCATCTTTGATCATTTGCTTGGAAGCTTAACCAAAGGCTCATTATTTGAGTCCTTGCGCACCTGAGACTGTTTGACCAACAGAGGACAGCTTGGTCGCGTGCACGGCTTTTCAATCAGTTTGCAAAAAACCAATGATATTGTGACTTTGAATTTATCATTTTTGTAAAGCCCAGAGCTTTGTGATTCTTTGTCTGGGTTGCTTTTTTCTTTTATCCTAGCCCTAAATTAAATCATTCCAGAGATAAGTGGACAGGGACAGAACAAGTTGGCTGCTCGTGTGCAAGTTAGCATGCTTGGGGTACCGCTTAAATCATTTATCACATTAGCTACAAAACATTGCTGTGACATTTCGGCAGCCTTCCATTTGACTGGGGTCCAATGTACAGCACTAATTAATCCATAGTTGATGCTGATCATTTCCCATCTGTCTCTCTTGCTGGCACTATTTTTCAGAGACAGAAGACCTTGCCAAAGGATTAGGTTATACCATTCTCCCTCTAATTCCGTGCGTAGAGTCTTTGACCTATGACTCTGGATATACCTCTGGCAGCCTGTGGACAAATTCGGATAGCCCTCTGTGGTTCACTGTTACCCACTGTGGCCCCATCACATGTTTCTCTGTACAAACCGTTCGTCTCTGCACATAAGGAGAGATCACGTAGGAGGTCATCCTTGGACTTGGAATAAGATCCAACTACATGAGAAGAAGCCAACAATTTGGACAGGATTCATCCTCAGTGACTTCTGTGGCCAGTGTCCAGAGTTTGGGCTGTACCTCCCCTCCAGGGTCAGATCCTCTCCCATCAGATTTTCATAAACTGGTTTTCTTCCTACGTGCCCCACCTCCACCCACCTCCTTTTCGAATTTTCGAAGCTTTCGAATAATTCGAAGCTTTTCGAATTATTACTTTTATGTGCTACCGTTTCTTCTCTGCCTTTCCTTCTTATCGTGAAAATATTAGCCACGTACATTAGCCACGTAGGATCCATGTACCTCTCCCCTCCCCCTAAAATGCGGCGACAGTGGAAAAATCTCTCATCAGCTTTGTTCAGGGATCATGGCAATGAAACGAATCAGCAGAGGACAGCAGGCATGTCCTCCCGACGGAGGTCATGCCGACCCAGAGACCCAGCGACCCAAGTCCAGTGGGTTGATGTCGGGGCCAGAAATCCACCTTTTTGGAAAGCTTCTGGATATCTTGATCATCAGTCCCATGGGGGGAAACCAGAGAATTTCTGCATCTGAGGTCTGTAAGTGCCTGAGGGATTAAATAGTCCAAGCCTCCGAAGGGAAACAGAAGCCCAAGACCACATAGCTGATGGCTTTGCTAAAACATACAGAGACTCGTTCAGTATTTCCAGCACACTCACTTAAGAAAGACTGGAACGTTTCTGTTACATCTGAGGAAAATTTGCATCAGTGTGGCTTAAATTTAAATCTTCTAAAAATTGCTCCCGAAGAGGCAAACCCTCTCACACCATGAAAATGCCATCACTCCCTCCGGAGATGATTTCCCGGGATTCCAACGAGCGTGGGTTTCCCCGAGAAGTGAGGGTGGTGTCTAAATCGGTGACCTCGCTGCCCCCAAGTAATCACAACATAATTATTTGCATTTTTACTTTGATCCCCGAGCTTCAGTCTGAAAACCTAACGTGGGGGTGGGCAGTGGACAGTGAAGTCTATTTGGAACATGGCACAAAGTCTCAGAAAAAAATGACTGGCTAAGTATAATCCTACCGAGAGCACTCACACACTGGCCAGCGGCTGTATGTTTTTCAGGCCACCTGGAAACCCACTGAAATAAGAGGGGAGGTATGATCTCTTCTTTGCTTCTATTCTGTTGGATGATTGAATCACACACGTTTATCGTGGGGGACAATCATCTCTAGAAGGCATGTTGATGTTTTTGAGAACGTAATGTTAACTGTGGCTTGCCACGTGTGGCTTTCTTCTTTTGTTCAAATTGGATTCTTAACTCATACCGGGGTCAGCATGGGCTTCCAAATATACAATGGAGGAGTTGAACCAACTCTAAAAAAGATAAAAAGCAAACAGTTAATGTTTGGAACGCATCTGAGCATGGGTGGGTTGAATTCTTGCATTTATCCATCGGCCACAGAAACGAAGTGACACCGGGTCAAATTTTTAAAAACTCACGCTCTGCTGGGCGCTCTCGTGGGACCAAGTCTCTGGCAGCCGTGATTATATTCCTTTCCAGAGTAGGTGCTCCAGCGGGGGGAATGCTAACTATGCAGACAAGCAGGAGAGGAATGTGGTCACCTCTTAGCCCTGACCTGGGGGGTCAGAGGGAGACATCCCGGGAAGCAGAGCTTTGAAAGCAGAAGATAAACATGATGGATGGCGGGGGACTTGAAAGGGAGCAGAGGCAGCTGGCCGCCCTGGGGGTGCACAGACTCCCTTTACTCAATGCCTTCCCTGAGCCCCCAGGCTGTGGGCCCTTTGCGCCCACTTGGGCAGACTTTCCCGAAAAGGGAACTGGACGCTTGTAGGGGAAGGGTCTGTCCAGGGTGCAGGGCTGGTGACTTGGTCTGTGGCTGATCTGCCTGCCCGTCTCGCTGTCACCATTCAAAATGCCTAGGAGAGTCTCAAATTTTTAATCTTGAAATCTAAAGGCGATGGAGAGGGGCCTCGAGTTGCTCCAAGCATCTCCTGTGGGGATCAGTCAGGGCGCAGGGCTTTGTTTCGAAGGAGGTAAGCTGGGGTGGAACCTGCTCACGCTGCTGGTTCAGGACCCGGTAGGAGAAGCTGCAGGCTCTGCCCTCTGTCTGTCACTGCCCGGGCCAAGGGCAGAAGGGACCCTTGAGGACTCCATTGAAGCCCACCTGCTCGCACGGTCATTCCGGGCTCTTGACGCTGCGGCTTCTGCTTCTCCTCTGAAAACTCCCTGCACGGCCACCGCAACCCAGAGAACCAGACTCCGTGCCGGGTTCCCACAACCTCCCTGCACTCTTCCTCCCTCCGACATTTGTCCAGGACCCATCCCTCCCTCCCAGCCCTCCTGAGGAATTCGTTTTTGATAGAATTTTTTTTAACGTTTACTTATTTTTGAGAGAGACAGAGTGCGAGAGAGGGAGGGGCACAGAGAGCGAAGCACAGAATCCGAAGCAGGCTCCGGGCTCTGAGCCGTCAGCACAGAGCCCGACGCGGGGCTCAGACCCATGGACCGAGACCTCATGACCCGAGTCGAAGTCGGACACTTAACCGACTGGGCCACCCAGGCGCCCCATCTCCTGAGGAATTCTACCCTGTCCTTCAGAGCCCAGCTCGTTCACATTTCTAGGACCCTGTCCTCAGACCCCCGAGGGCATGCTGTTCCCATCTGTTTCCACTCTCTGCCTCCTATGGTTCATCCACCCAGTTAATTCCAGTAAATATATTTACTTACTCAACAGTTATCATGTGATCCTCGATACATCCTCTAATGAGGATCAGTTAGCCTTTGGGGGGCATCCCTAAGAATCCGTGGATTGATGGGGCGCCTGGGTGGCGCAGTCGGTTGAGCGTCCGACTTCAGCCAGGTCACGATCTCGCGGTCCGTGAGTTCGAGCCCCGCGTCAGGCTCTGGGCTGATGGCTCGGAGCCTGGAGCCTGTTTCCGATTCTGTGTCTCCCTCTCTCTCTGCCCCTCCCCCGTTCATGCTCTGTCTCTCTCTGTCCCAAAAATAAATAAACATTGAAAAAAAAAATTAAAAAAAAAAAAAAGAATCCGTGGATTGATGAGTTAATCTGTTACCATCATCGTTTTCGTCAGAGCGCAGGTGGCTGCCTCTGAGGCAGGTGGGGGCCTCCCTGGGGTGGCGGTGAGTCCTTGAGGCTCACTTCTGGCCTTTAATAACCTCCTCGCTCTTTGGCATGACGCCATGTCCCAGAGTCACTCGCCTGCCCTGTACCTGGGTCAGCCGTTTCTCCAAGCATCTCTGCTTTCCTTTGCTGCCACACTTCTGAATTTCCCTGAGCTGTAAAATGGTACCTTGTCTGGCTACGATCTATATCTCTCGGATACTCTATAATATTGTGACGTTTTCATGTATTTATTCAACAATTACGCGTTCTCCTTCGCGATGCCTGCCCATGATTTCGTCCAATTTACACGAGTGATGCATATGCGTGTATGCTAACAGACTCATAGTTCGTTATTTATTCCACACGGCAATCCCTCGACAATTGCATGTTTCACGAACATCTTCCCCTACTTCACGGTTTCTGTCGTCTCATTATTAGGGTTCCTCTCCCGGGACAGAACATTTTCATTTTATGTGGACAAATGAAAAACATGTTTGTTGGGGCGCCTGGGGGGGCTCAGCCGGTTAAGCGTCCGACTTTGGCTCAGGTTATGATCTCACGGTTTGTGGGTTCGAGCCCTGCGTCGGGCTCTGTGCTGATGGCTCAGAGCCCGGAGCCCGCTTCGGATTCTGGGTCTCCCTCTCTCTCTGCCCCTCCCCCGCTCATGCTCTGTGTC